CCCCAAAACCCCAAAACCCCAAAACCCCAAAACCCCAAAACCCCATTAGGGTCAATATTTATTGAACCAAATAATGCACAAGTTTAGATTATCTGATTAATCTTTGCAGGACTCTCGTCACGAACAGCTTCATCAAAAGAGACATTTCTTTTGTGATTCCTAAACACCTGCTTTCTCTTTTGTATTTGAAATAGCTTCTTTTTGTTAACTATAGAAGTTAAAGCAGTACTTTACTCTGAATGGAGTTAGCAATATTTCTCTGAGTTTTAGGAGTAACTAAATTATATTTCATTTAAAGTACCTCTACTATTCATTATGACTGATCTGTTGGCATTTTTAACAGATGGGAGGGCATATAATGTCTCTGCATCTTCATCTACTTCTGTGTTTACTCTTTTCTTGATACTTTCATTACTCTTATTAGTCGCTCCTCTGTTCAAAATTAGTTGAATATCTTTATCACGGAAGACTTTATTCTTCCTGTTTGCTAGATGATCGCTATTACTCAAGTTTCTTTTGAACTTCTTGTTAATGTTAAAAGTTCTATTCTTGAAATCAATCATTGATTTAAGATTTGAATACTCCTTTTCAAGAATGCTGATGTCATTTGGAGTGAACATATCGATCCATTTAGACACCCTCAAAGCTTGTTTGTGAAGCTGAACTCTCTTCTCATAAAGCGATTTCTCGCTTTCATCAGTGTTGAGAAAAGAATCAGCTGCTTGTTTTAAAGCTTCCATTATGATTCCACATATGTTCTGGTTCTGCTTATGAAGTATCTCTACAAATAATCTATAATATTACCGATTGAGTTCATCGCTGTTGTAGTGTCATTTTTATTAGCCTTTGTTTCAAGAGCATTTGCAAACTCTGCATTCCCAACTTTGCCTTGAAGCATTCCATCAAGCTCTTCAATAGTGACTGTTTGTATATTATAGAGAAAGAGGCTAATATAAAGAAGGACATAGGTAGTGAAGGAATTAATGACCAATAAGAATTATTAGAAATCTGTTCGGTGCTTCAAATTATAGTTGCAGTAGATAGAAGATTCTTTAGTGTATTATGATGAAGAAAGATATTTGAGTTGAGATCTAGTACTTATTTCATTGCCTACAAATGTCTTAGTTAATGACTAGTTTTTACTTTTAAATTAACAATCTCTTACATTTTTGCATATTGGCTTTAAACTGGACTTCCTTCAAGACTTTTGATGCAATTGTTGAAATTGAGTTATTGAGCGTTTCTAAAATAATTAACAAACTAAATTCACTTGAAATTTCTTTCTCTACTGAGTTCAGATTCTCATTTGTTTGTAGAATCATCTTTTTCACTTTATCATCAACTTTCTCTATTCAAAGGGATAGAATTAAACCGAAAAACTGTAAACCACTGAAGAATTACTAAATAAGTAAAGCATAAAATAAATATTAACAATCTAATCAGTATCTCAAAGAGTAGAGTCATAATCTCCCCTAACAAAACCTCTCTCTACCCACTTTCTACCTCTCCCACCCACTATCCCAAGTTCCCATTTGCTCTTACTAATTCTCTGCAAGTTAGCTTCAGCCTGCTCTCTTGTGGCGAATACATCTAAAGGTCACTGGGACAAGTACGGAGTTGGTCTCTGAAGGACTCTAAAGTTACTTTAGATGCCTTCGTTAATAAGATTTCATCGAATCTCTGTATAATTGAATCTGTTTGATCTAGCTTAGTCTGAAAATCACTGATGGAATCCTAGAAATTAAATTCAGGATTATAAACCAATCTTACTGCAAAATTTGTTATCTTAGGCATAACTTTGAATTCAAGATCTTTGACATGTTGGAACCTTCAATATTTTTCCATCTCTTTATAAATATCTTCAATGTCTTTCTTAGTAGCTTTTTCTCTAAATATGAAGGAGATAGACATACTCTAATTTATCTTTGACCTCTCCTATTTTACTGTAAATGGTGTATATCTTCTGATTAAATGCTGCTATATTGCTCTCGTTTTCTTTAATACATGATCTCTGGCGATCAATCTCTTCAGAAATCTTCAGTTCTAAACCTTTCTGACTTTCTTGCATCTCTGACATTATTTCTATAAGATCATAAAAATAGATTACCTTGCTTGAGCTTCTTTAAGAGATCAGATAGCTTTGTTTTCGATAAATAATCATCTCTAAGAGACTTTTCAATATGATGAATATTAGTTTGAGTGACTCCGAATTCGTCTGTCCTCACAAACAGTTTGAAAGATTTTTCAAGTTTAGAGATATCTTCCTTTGTAGCATTCATCTTACTCGCATGGAACTGATAAATCTCAAAATCTCCTTTTGAAACTTTCTTATTCGTAATATTTTGTATATCTTCCAGCGAAATCTGTAAATTAGATTGAGAGTTTTCCATATTGCCGACCCTTGTATCTAAAAATGAGGCTGACGCTTTACCAATCATATCATTCTGAATATCAATTTTACTAGTTGCAGGAGTACAAATCCTTCTCTTGCCTCATAACCTCTGGACATGACTATTAAAGCTTACCTTTCTGGACCTGGGCCAACTTCTGCTCGACTTCATCTACAACTTCTGATTAAATAGCTTACCTTGGTATTGAAAGAAGCCTCGCTTGGAAACAGAGTCTTCGGCTAGCTTTAAGATGTACTGCTCGTTGATCTTCTCAGAGATGTAGCTGACCGGGTCGGTGAAATTGGACTGGGATATTTGGACTGAGAGAGCCAAAACTGGTGATAGCAGTTCCAGTTGGGATTTTAAGTAGGTTACCTCTGCTTCAAGATGACTATGTACATCACTAATAATGGAATTACTTGATCTTTTCATCATTGACCAATTCTTCTAAGCGCATCTGGGCTAAGCAAGTTAAGCATAATCTTACGAGAAGGAGGTGGGAGAGTATTTCTTCTTTCCATATTAATATTAAGTTTTATCAATAAATAAAATTAATAGTGGGGTTTTGGGGTTTTGGGGTTTTGGGG